TTTGGTCCTGTCCTCAGGCTAGGACAAAAGTCCTTAAAAATGTTAGTTGTTATTCCCCGCTTAACGATCAGCATTTAGGGTAATAGCAACAACTGGTTCACCCTTTTTGCCACTTTAATCAGACCGAGTGGAATGCTGTAATGGGTGCCTTCGACATGGTATTCAATGAGATAGCCCTTTAAAGTCGGCATTAGATCCGCGCTTTCACAAGAAGGCAACATACCCTGACTCTGGCACACATATACACCTGCACGCATACACAACACATGGTGGCACGTATTTCGATGACTTAAGCCGTTGATAGGATGTTAAACTCCTAACAACCTCTTCATCTGTAATAGACCCCGTAATGTATGCAACGTGGGTGGTACGTCAATGCATCTGACCCAATACCTGTATGGTTATGATATTAAGCAATCCCCTTGTCTCAACGCAAGGGAAATATGGACTTTCAAAAACTCAGGTGACCACACCTGTCCCGGGTAAGAGGAGAGTTAAAGTTCGGAAATACGAAACCAAAATTCTAACAAGGAAGCGCATAAAACGTACAGTAAGTTGTCACTGTTAACTTTAGTCGGCTGATTGAAGTTATGCTGAGGATGAGGCACACGTTTAGCGTGTCTGCAAACGTGTCATTTTTAAAGCTTCTTACACAAAAGTCATGATTTGATATTATATTTACGGCCAGACAACAAAACAAAATGTTCAGGCAATGCCAAATAGAATAAACATTGTTAACAGAAAATAGTGATACCACAAATACGCTTGAAATATAAGGATTCAGAAAAGGAAAACGATTTCAGGCGTTCCACAGACTGTGGTATATCAATACGTCCTCTAGGCACAAGACGCATATGCATTCCTGAGTCTTCATGGGACAAGCGTTAGTCGCCTCGTATGATCTTGAGCGCTACGTATCTATCCTCGTCTATGGGACACGGTTATTATGAACGTTGCACTGCTAAACATATGGCAACAGTTAGAGACTACATCACAAACGACCGACAACGAGATTATGTGCTCTTAGCTACTATGAGGTAGCCGGTTGGCGAAGTGGATAACGCACTCTCCTTTCACAAAGGCGGCCGGGTTTCGACTCCCCAATCGTACATGAATAGGTATGGAATAACCTGTCCGACCACGTGCGTTTATTATCGGGGTAATCAGGTTTTTACCTACATAAATACCCACCGCGCGCTAACATCCGGGCCAACAGGAGTGACAAATATATGTTAAAATGACATGATTCAAAATTGTTGTAAACTAATTTAAGTTGGAATATATATACTGTGAGGTTGCAAAAGCATTAAAACATAAAATTATTACAGACAGTGGTAAAAGATTTATTCTACGGAAATGCCTTCATCTGCTATCATGCATGCTCTTGTTGTGGGCGCACGGACTATAAACGAACACACAGACAATTTACATAATTGACTTATCACCAACGGAAGGAACTAAGTAGTTAACTAATACATTAATAAAAAAAAGACATCGTTTAAATGAATGCACCCACACATAGCGTCTTTTCAAAACACGCAAGTGCATTATCTTGCTGCATTGTGTTAAAACAAATATCAAACTAACACACAAAAGTGCAATTAATAAAAAGGAAAGTGAGTAATTTTATCGTGGTAGCGATCAATGAGAAAGTCAGGTTCCTATTATTTACAAGTAGACTGTCAGCAAACACATTATGTCAAATTTGGTTCCTTTATTTTTTACTTTGTCAAGTTCTTAATGTGAAACATTAGACAATGTTTGTTTGAATGACAGTTAAAGGATCATTAGTAACACTTCGTAAAAAGTATCATTGAAAGTTTTCAGACTATTTAAATTGCAATTTTAATGAAGATACAATTTAAAATGAGGGTATACAGGACTGCACTTTTTGTTTATTCTACCAAACATTGCCAAATGTATTACAGCCCAACCACGGCAGGTTAGAGAATGAGGAAGATTATGTCTGCTGTTACCCATTGTATATTGTAAAGGCAACTTTTGTAGAAACCCCTTGCAGAATTATGTTGGCTGCTTGGCTATCAGGTTTTAACTTCCAATCAACAGCTGATGTCATTTAAGGACGTGCCTCCGTGTGTTGTGTTCAATGTGTGTGTTAACAGTGTATGTGTGTATGTGTGCTGGAGGTTGGTATGTAGCAGCTCTGATGCCAACTTTGTAGCGCTATCTTACTGTAATACCATTCAGAAGGCACTCATCACAGCATTCTGCCGGGTCACATTATACTGACAACGGATGAATCAGTTGTTGCCATTCATCTGAATTCTTAACGTTACGCAGGAAATAACAACTACCATTTCTAAGGACTTTGGTATGTCCCGGCCTGGTGGCAAACCCCAGTGCTTTCCTCGCCTAGACGAACGCTCAACACTAAAGTCAAAAGGAAGCCACTGCAAACCAAGGCGCTAGGAAACGACCAAAATAAACCTGCTTCAACTATTTGGGATATTCATATATCTCTCTGCACTCTATCCAGCTCGTTATTCCATCCAGTCACATTTTACTGACAACTTCTTAAATAGTTTTCGAAAATGGTAGTTATTACCTGTTGTATTTCAGCATTTACGGCAATTTACGTAAAACTAGTTAACCCGCTGTGTGTTTAATTTGACCGAATCGAATGCTGTATTGCGTAACTTTGGCATAACATTTTGGTAAGTTCGTCTGCGATCCGCGCTACCGCTAGAAAGCAATATATATATACCCATATCACAACAAAAGACAAACTTGTTTTTTTTTAAGGAAATCACAGAAAGGGGAACACTAAGGAAACCCGCATATTTAAAAAAAGGTTTGGATTGTATGTATTTTTTGTGCAGCTTTCCGAGCATGACGGCATTGTATGACGTCATTATGCACGTGTAATGGTAATGTGTCCGTTACCAATACGCCTACAGGAGACACGCCACATTAAATCAGCAGTAAAATCAATGAACACATTTGCAATCTTATTTATTGAAGTGTGGAAACCTGCTTCAATGCATGGCATCTCACAAACTATTTACAGTAAAACACTTGCTGTTAGTTTGCGTTGACTTTCACCCAACAAGAGTATTTTATAAAATAATATAAAGGATCTCAAATCCGACAATTTTAATCCACCTAAAAACGTTTTATCTGTAAAAAAATAAATTAAAAAAAACTTAACCGCTTTTAGTTTTTAAGTTCACATTTGTCTACAATATGTTCGTTTGCTATCATTTATTTTAACATGTTTTATCTACACTATCAACGCCAAGATGACGACACCACTGTTCCGTTAATTGCAGAAACAATCAATTTACAGCTCATAATAAATTATTGTTATACTCTTATCCATTGAAATATATGATACAGTTTCAGTTTGGCTTTCCATTGGTTGACGTTTGATACCTCAACAGGTCGGAAAATTTATTGTACTATTGTGCACGGTGTTATGCCTTCAAAACACACATGGAGACACGTCCTTAAATGACCTTAATAATAAGAGAATAAAACCGAACCACTCGCAACACTCGATCACAGGCGCAGGCGGATTCCTAGGGAGACACCGCAAGAAAACATGACTAGGTTCAATATATCATAGTAGGATCCCAAGTGCTGCAATGTATTGAGCAGATCAATTTTAATTTCTCCAGTGTCCCAATACAGACGTCAGAAACGTCAATAGAATATTCTGCAGGGCAGCAGCATTAGTGTTATTTTTTCCGTTTTATTTTTGATGCTATTTATTCCTATTTTTTATTTGGCATCATTGCCAGTTGATCCGCAATGCATTTGGGAAAAAAACATCAAATTAAAAACCAAAGCGAACGAAATACGGTTAGATATATCATGATTCAGTATTTGATTTGTGCTTTTTATGATAAGCTGGGAATCGGGTGGTCCCAAGACCGTAAAATTTATGACAAACAGAAAGATATGCCATAAATAGCATTCAGCAGGAACGAAGGATTCAGACTGTGTCAATACTCATGGGACCGGATCATCCATCTAGCGGTGCATAGCATGTCGATTAGACAGGCTATGTTCGGTTTATCGGTCAGTTAGTCCCTTTCGACGTGTCCCATAAATGACTTCGGTGTCTAGGGGCTCTTGTCTGGACTAAGCTGACATACGACTCTTCAAATGACAGATTTGGAGTCGGCTTTCTCTAAAATATATTAAAAGGATAACGACGTTGTCACCTCGATCTTCCCTCTTCCGGATTAAGATGTCTGTTTATCATATATTCAAGGCAGTCTGGGAAAATCGTGCTTTAAATACGATGGTGGCTTCCAATTAGCATTGAAGTGTCTGTTCAAATGTGTCAATAAACTCTTGGATTAGCCCAGTGTGATGCAAACTTGTAAGATTAATTATATTCATTAATGTGCATATGACACACAGTTTGTTCTGTTACATGGCATGCGGACAGACTGTATCAAGATATCTGGAATTAACATGCCCAAGGGAATAAAATCACATCCGTCGAATTATTCCAAGGAGTGGCATTTGATTGTAACAAGTTATATAGATTTATCTGACAACAAACACTAATTAATCCCACGACTTCATACACAATTGACTTTAGTCTCTATTGCCATACACTGAAGAGGTTATATAGTATGTTTGCTGGGGATGTGTGATTTTGTGAGATAGGCGTAGCATTGAATGTTTGCCAATAACAGTCAGAAACGTTTGATGGTCGGCCACTGTATCAACTCTATCTGATATACCGAATTGCAGAAATAAAATCAGATATATTGGCAGTTCTAAAGCGGCCCCACAATCACGCCTATATACTTATTACCAAATAGCACAAAATCCAGGCTTATGAGGACCTAATCGAAAGATATAAAATCACTCTCATGAACAATTCTTTTCCAACAAATATTCTTTTACATCTCCAAGTTGTGCTCTGTTGAATTATTGTTTGTATCTTAATGGAGGAATTTACATCCATCAATTGATAGATATATTTTTACACAATCGTTTAATATCATTGTCTTGTTTTGCAGGTTTACCACCAGAGTTGTATTGCATTTGGGAAGCGTATCCATGGAGATTTGGAGAACCATTTTGCATATTTAAAGCTTTTCTAACGGAAATGACGTCATATTCATCCGTGTTGACGATAACTGCATTTACAATTGAACGTTACATAGCAATATGTCATCCAATTAAATCACAGACGTTGTCCAATCTCTCCCGTGCAGTAAAGATCATAATATGTATTTGGGTGGTGGCTGCAGCTTTCGCTGTACCATACCCAATATATACTCGCGTCTATCACTACATTCGGGTAAACAACACAGTAGTGGACGACTCGCTCATCTGCAGTATAGCGCCGCCCTGGCGGGACCTAATGATCCACGTGTTTCAGATGTCCACCTTTGTGTTCTTTGTCCTTCCGATGACCATGATCACAATAATGTATATATTGATTGGTCGGACACTCAGTACTTCAGACTTTGGGACACCGGTTTACGTTAATTCGTCATCCACGAAGTCCAAGGCCAGAAAAGCCGTAATAAAGATGTTAGGTAAGTGAAAAGAGTGCACATATGACCGAGGTCGGACCCACGTCCGTAACCTAGGCTTTGAATACACAGCGTCTCAGCATTATTGTCCCCAACATCGTTCTCGGTAGCGGAACAATTACATTTAGGGGAGGTTTACGATCAAATTGAAGGGAAGATTCAAATAAATACCTTATCTTGTCTGTAGCACGATCAACCAACCAGGCGATCTTAAGGGCATTAAATGCAATTACTCGACATCCAGAAAGGGACTTTGGCCTCAAGGAAATGATGTGCGGATATTCGAAATATGTTCGCAAAGTGCCATCGATCCTCAGGATTTCCGACAAGGAAAACCTCTCAAAGCTATTTCCATTCCCATACAGGTTGATTTTTTTAATAAAAAGTATTAGATATAAAAGCAATCTCTTTCCTACTTATTTATAAACTCGGCTATTTTCTTTGATAAGCATCATTGAGTACGCCTTCATAGTTCAGGAACATCACCCAATATTGTTTTTATAAACTCGTAATGTACGTAATGTATTCAAAACCTCTTCCACCGGCAGCACTTACGTCAATGGTGATAAGGTCTTTTATTTGATTATATCCTAAACAATATCCGACAATTCGATAGTAGTAGCATTGTGAATATTAATAACAAACAAACATTTTTTTAGGACCACAGTGTTTATTCATATAGTCATGGCTTTCAGGAGTGAAAGATGACATCACTACTGCCCGTTCTATTGGAATTTAATGTTCAATTGCAAGTGAATACCCACATGTAACCGAAGTGTGAATTCAAAACTGATTTACCTATGGTAAAACATATAGAACAAACATTAAATTGAGTCAATTGGTCAAGAACAAGCAAAATGGAAAAATATTATTAATGTGACAGGCATCTTAATAGCATCACCTGTTTTTCCCTGACTTAACAACAATCCAGCACTACCCATGTAACCTTAAATATATTTTAAGGTACTCTCCTTATTCTGTTTGACAGCCCTGGATACACACTGGATAGAAAGCCACAGATATAATAACAATATCGTTGATATATCGCTCATAATATCAATTTCAAATATCACTTCAAAATAATTAATACTCTACAATTCTAAACAACCGTAAAACTGTTGGTCTGTTCAAAGAAGATACAAACCTCTTTTAGTTTCCTATTTGACGTTTCGTCTTTAACCTTTTGGTTTGTTTGATGTTTTTTATTATTATTTTAACGTGTTTTATCGACCGTTTATTTGCCCTAAAGGCCACTTCTATGCTGATATGACGTTAAGAATATAGTTAAAATAATAATTTCAAAAGTAACTATCCAGAATTTTGAAGCATTTCTTGAAAAACAAAAACAGACAACAGACGTAGATTCTGGATTTCAAAAGAAACCATTCGATTTAATTTCAACAAAATTAGGGCACTATATAGAAAGGGAAGTTATTAACAAGGAAATCATTTGTATAAGCATAACCATGATTTCTCTTCAATACAACATTTTTTTCATGTTCATTTTTTTTCCATCAGCAAGCACCAGATGTAGCTGGGTTTTGCGGCTAAAATCAGCCCAGACAAAATCGTCGTTCAGTCAGTATATTTTAGTAATTAACAAAATGAGACATTGTGGCATACCTCTTTGTAAGCGACTGGAAAATTCGGATATGAAATATATTGCAATTATACTAAAATTTGCCAATCAGCAGCTCATGTAAACTTTTTTTTAGAAAAACAAAGTACTAAAAAATCATAATTTCACAATAAAGCACTTTCCTTCTTATTAATAGAATTGTGTTCAGTGACTAAGTCTTAATTTTGATACCCGGTCATGTCGGAAATAGTGGAAATGAGAAATTAGATCGGGATGTCCCTTCTACAGAATCGGGGGTGTTTTCTTCTTTGTGTCCTTATAAGTGGACACCGAGGAAATCAAACAGAGACCTGCTGTATCTAACTGCAGGTATATCGTAAAAGGCGACTAATGTAGGGCACCCGGCAAAATTGGGTATTCTCGCCTGTGTATCTGGAGGAGGACATGGAAGATACAAAATCTATATTCCCCCAGTGCAATATTTGGGATTGTTTTCGTTTCCTATATTCCTTGTGTATTATCTTTCTTTCTATCTGCTTTCTCTTCCCGGCGATGGCTTCCTAGGCATCCGTCCTCACATGACCCGAGAACGTTAAATCCGAAACAAACAAAAATCCCTCGATATACTCTATTGTTCGCATGCACTCAAAGGTTGGAGATAAGGGCTTCCAAGGCATCCGTCCTCACATGACCCGAGAACGTTAAATCCGAAACAAACAAAAATCCCTCGATATACTCTATTGTTCGCACTCAAAAGTTGGAGATAAGGACTTTTAGCACTTAGCTGTCAATTACGTTTTAGCACGAAAAGAAATAGCGTTAACTCTGAACTCACAATAACAGACAATACATCATTGTCTGTAGTCGTCTTGTTTTTATTGCGGCCTGCAAGTGTAAATAGATGAGGTGTCGTCTTCAGCTTCAGCAGTCAGAATTTATGGTAAACATAAATAAATTAGATTAAAGAATAAATCACCTTTTTAAGAATCATTAAGGATTTCAACAGTCATTAACTTTGATTGTGTTCCCATCCATAGGCGATCGCTGTCAATTCTTTTCAGAGGCGTACACGCATATTATGACGTCAAACGTACGTCTCTTTACACAATGGCAAAATGGGTGTCGTTCTCGTCTCCGGTCCGAGTGTGATTATGAGAGCGTTGGTGGAACATGCTTAAGTTGTCAGACCGAAGCGTTTGTCTTACACTCTACATATTCACGTTTCTGTTTGTACTTAAGTCTGAGTAGGAGCAATTTATTTCTGTTAAGCATTTTAATGCTTTGAATTAAATAGTTGCCTGCCACTTTCGTTGTAGCAAAACGACATTCAACGAGTACCGTTAAATCGGAATTCTCCAAGATCAGAAAAAACAAAATGACTGCAGTCGTATGGTTTTTATTGCGTCATATACTTGTAAATGGATTTCGTGTCTCTTCAAATTCAACATCAGAATTAATGGTAAAATTAAGTAAATTGAATTAAAGAATCAACCGCATTTAAAGCATTGTTTGTTTGCCTCGTGGTCTTCTTTTAGTCAGGAANAGGATTTCTCCTGCCAAGTGGACATCCAAGAAACCGAGTATGAGCAACTGCCCCAATTGCAACACTTCAGAATCTATATTTTGTCCTTTTCTAAGTTCTCGTATCTTTCTTTTCCGCAGTGTTTCCCTAGAAACACGTCTTCATATGACTCAGCTGTTATCATATATGTTTTCCTGAAGCTCGTGGAAATAATCGGCCTCCTGTATCAGGCTACATAATCGCGCTTCATTTAATTTATAAAAGCGAAAAAAAAAATCTTTTGGAGCTGGCATTCACATAGTCTTTGAATGCCAGTTGAAAGTATTGTAATGGTTCGGTCTAGAAATAGAGCTGCATCCATTACGAACGTGTATAAAGAAGAACCATTCAACCAAAACATGGAGGCAACAACATGTATTGAAGTTTTATTAAGCTCCTACAATAAAATACTGTGACATGGTGTCTTTGGTTCATCTTTGCTCCATCTGTAGATTAACAAATGGGTAATTAATTGACAAACATGGATAAGTTCGAAAGTGTGTATTAAGTAAATTGTTTTAAAATAGGTGGCCAAATTATGTAAACATTTACCACATCGTGAGGCCTTTTGGATTTTTTAAGAACTTATGATTGGTTAACAAAGTTTTAAAAATGTATACAAATTCAAAACATCTGTGCAATTTTGTTTTATACTCATTTTCCATGTAATATAAAATGATCATAAGTCACTTCTATTCGGTTTTGATTGTAAAATCTTAAGCGCTCAGACAATCTTCGACACCATTCAGTAATCGCACACGTCGAATTCATGTAAGTTTAGAAGACAATGGTTGCAATTTAACATCAGAGAGCAAATACTAATCTTGTCACCGATGAAACATTAAGGTTCAGACGTAGTGCGGTAATTTCGAAGTCTATAGATGAAACCGAAGGTCTGTGGAGACTTGTCATACTGGTGTAGGCGCAAAAGGCCAACCAACGAGGGACCCTTCATCAGGGGTTTCTGGAGGTTCAGCAGAAAATGTCATTAATCAATTATTTGCAGACAGATTTGAGATATGGTGGACGGCCTGATCAGGTTATGTCCAGTCTCGGACACTGGACACGGGCCAAGTGATCAGCAATAATAGCAAGAACTGGTCCTTGTCATTGACCGATGGTCAGACTGTACCTTTGTCCGAGTACTGTTGACCAGTTTTCTTTTTATCAAATGACATTAATATGTCTGGCAGTCCAACAAGTTATAACATTGCGCTACAATGTCGCAAGATCTTCGTTTTATAAAACAAAATGGACGCAAACAAATTGATAAGATATTTGATAATAATAGTAATACAACAAGATTCGTTTGTAGTAAAGGTACTTACATAAAGAAGTATAGTAACGTGTCCAAATGTTACAAAATAAGATAAATTTATAATTATGGCAGTAAATACAAGGTTGTTATATTTGAAAACAATTATTGCAGACGTGTAAACCTATAGAACAAGTAGATGGCAAATTTGGTGTTTATTAACTTATTATTTTTTTATACATGTTTTTTTTCAAAATATAAAGTATCCAAGTGTGCGTGATAAAATACAGAAAACAACAACACATCATTTGAGGATCTGGGTAGGGTTGAAGCTCGTATGATATTATCATTGCAAACAGGATTCGATTTATGGTAATTTCCTCATTATTGAAGAGACAAATATGTATCTGCTGCCACCATTCCAACGATGGACATTTCTCTTGGGGTTTTCTGCTACTTTGTTGTTAAACTGTTCCTCTTTGTAGTTATATTGATGCATGCTTTCGTTGATTTACCGTAAACCTGAAACAAACAACACATATTGAAACTAAAACATCAAATGTATTATTTCTGGTATTTCAACGTGTCACTTTAACGTAGAATAAATGTCCTATTGTTGAATTTTGGCACACATAAAGAAAAAGTACAAATTTGAATGCGAATGGATGCGATTGCAAGCTAATGATACATATTCTAAATTATCCTATATTTTATACTATCCAGTTTATCAAAGATAAAATTCTACTTGTTCAGGTTGTATTTTCGATCGACATCCACTGCATGATTATAAAAGGCGACTAATATGAATACCCATGCAGAGTTGGGGATTTGCGTTTTTTATCTTTACTTGGGGATACACAAACGTCCAAAATTGATCTTCTGCACCCATTGCAGTATTTGGGCTCTTTATCTTTCTTTCTTGTTCCAACTTCTTTTTATTTCCTAGCGCCTTGCTTGGCAAAACCTCACCTCTGGCATTAATATGGAACGTTCGTCCAGGTAATGGGTTCTGTCCCAAGGACGGGACATACCAAAGTACTTAAAATGGTAGTTATTTTTCCCTGCTTAATGTTCAGCATTAAGGGTAAAAACAGGTTCACGAGTATATTGAGACCGGACGGAATGCTGTGTTGGAAGCATTCGCCATGATATTTCAGTGAGATAGCCCTATAAACTCGGCGTATTATCTGTGCTATCGAAATAAGGCAATTACTCCAGTGTAATCTGCCTCCAGCACACACGCATGCATACACAACACACACGGAGGCACGTCTTTATATAACATAAGGTGTAGATAGAACGTTAAACCAACTACTTAATAATGTGCTCACAAGTCATGATAATTTGGTTCCGTATAGCTGAAGTCGACGTAGTTAGTTATTGTATTAATAACGGCCCATCAACACTAAAAGCTTATTAGGGCCAATAAAAAGAAAATTGAATATGTACCCTGCAGGTAAGGCGTACGAATTGTACCTGCTGCCCCCATTGCTTGATCGTAAAAGGCGACTAAATTTGGGATCTTATATTTTTATTTCTTTCTAACCAACTTTCTTCTTCCTAGTATCTCCCTTGACAATGCCTTACTTTTGGCCTTTAGTTGAGCGTTCGCTCCTGTAAGGAAGGCTTTGGGTTCTGTTCCCTGGCCAAGACATACCAGAGTCTGTAAAAATGGTATTTTATTCTCCTGCTTAACGCTCAGCAATTTAGGAGTGGGACGACTGGTTCGCCCGTTGTCAGTATAATTTAACCGGGTGGGGTGTCCTGCTGGGTGTGTCCGTCAGAATGTGTCAGTGAGGTAGTACTATAAAGTCGGCATCAGTTCCGCGTTATCACAAGGAGACAAACACGAGCATATCGCAGCCTCCCAAAACACACACGCATACGCTACACGCATGCATCTTGCACACAGGGTAAGACCGTCCTTAAATGACAGTAGCTGTTGATAGGACTTTAAACAATACTAAACAAAACCAATATTATAATAAATCAAAGTCTCTTATTAGCTGAAGGTCAATGCAATATACTTATAAGTGTTTTACTGTAAATGGTTGGTGATATACTATGCATTGAGGCTGGAAGTCGATAAAATTATTTGGATATTCAGTCGCGTGAAGGCTCTGGTGGCCATGATATATGACGAGCCATTAAATGCATACATCCGTTATGATCTCCCTGAGGTTAAAACATTGCTTGGTTCTATTTATTATTATATCACTTGGGAGACATTTCATTCAGTAGTTAAGATTTTAATCCTTTATACAACCGGAAACACTCAAAACTTGCAACTAAGAAATACAGAGCATCCAATTTTTACATGTTTAAAACAAATTATATGGGGATAATATCAATAAAGGTTGCAATCACTACAATACGATTACAAAATGTATTTTGGACAATTTAGACATGGCATGCAATCTATTTGGTGAGGTGAACGCATGGTCTTAGTCGTTATTGCATTCTCAAGCTTAGTCTGCGATGAAACACTTTCAGTAAAATGTACCTTTGCTTGCTCTTTTATACTGCAACATGGAACATTAATAGTTCCCTGTAGCGCCAAAATCAACATAGCACCATATGAAATAGAGATATTAACACTGAAGTTGTGTCATTGACCATTTAAAACTTATTTTCGTGATGCAATCAAATTATTAAATGTATCACAAAATAGGTAAAATATTGAACTTGATTTCGTAAAGAAGACCAACCTTATTGTCATGTATGTGATCAAACATTTACAGTCAAACCTTTTAATGATTCAATGCGCTGATTTCAAACAAATACGTGATAGATTATAAAATATGACGATCTATGAAAATGTATTCCATAAAGTTTCAAAATCAATATGACATATTTCATAACTGAATCGTTCCCTTTTTATTTGTTTTTACACTCTTGCCCTTTCTACCTTTTTCGTCACTTTTTAGAATGTCCCATTGTACAGTGTTGTTTGGCTCTTCATGGATCACATTGTCGATTGGCCGTAAAGCAATACAAAAACAACACAAATAAATTCCCCCTCACACCAATAGCATATATTATTTTAATATGATGGTAAACGATCCAGCCAGTCCTTAAAATATATGGTGTTTACTATGACCGTAGAGTGCGTCGACTTCAGTCAACTTGAGAGCATTTCTATAATAACGTTAAATGTCTTCTCGAAAACAATACTGTTTCTAAAGTTTTAAACTATTTGACATCTGTTGGTCTTACTAATAAATCACATTGTGTAGAGTCACTTTTGTTTTTCATCTTTACGTTTGTTTGTTGTTTTTGTTTTTTATTTGTTTTTGTCGACATCTGTTTTTCATCTAGAGCTTTCAGGATAACTACTAAGGAGATGTATTATCATACAAGTTCTATGAGTACTATTCATGGCAAACCTTCCCAAAATATCTCGTTGCGAACGGGATGTCATATTTTTACATCGTTCGGTGAAATAATGCTATTTAAAGCGGTGACCAATTGGTTAATCAAGGTGGCTGATATGACCCGGCGCGTCTGCATATCGCAGCCTCCCCAATACCACCCAATACTACCCAATACCATCCAATACTACCCCATACGACCCAGTTATGAACCAAATACTTCTTTATTACTGTGAAATATCACCTTTGTAGACGTTATTTACTTCCATTTGCCATACTTTATCGGGAAATATGCGATTTGGTGCCGAAAACATCACCGAATTGCCATGACTATCCCATTCCACCCAATACTACCCCATACCACCCAATACTTCCCAATACTACCCCATACGACCCAGTTATGAACAAATACTTCTTTATTACTGTGAAATATCACATTTCTTGAAGTTATTTACTTCTATATGTCACATCCTATCTGGAAATATGCGATTTGGTGCAGAAAACATCACCGAAACGCCTTGACTAGGGGTTCGACGATTTATAGCAGGAACGGGCAGAAAACTATTAATTATTATATATACATTAATGAATATATATATTCGATACATTTAAGTATCATTATCGGGTATAAGATATATTTGATAAAAGAATTGCAATTACATTATACTTTATTAATTCTATCCATGTCATAAAATGGTGTTATTAAGATCATATATATAAATTTAACAGGAAATATTTAGAAAATTTGAAATTACTTTTCAAAAATGTTAGTTATTCAATTTTGTTAAACATAACAGTATCAATTATATAACAGTGCTGGAGAAGAACCTTCAGTTAAACACTATGAAATTCAAAATGTATATGGATTGTATATGATTCGAAGTCCTTTCAATTACTTGATTAACTCACAGATAGTCTGTTTTGGACAAGCTAGATATGGTTTTCTGACCAATCTTATGAAGGGTAGAAGGTTGTCATTAATCAATGAAAAATTAAATAGTTACGCTTCTAATACATCAATCCAGAGACGTATATATTACATAATGAGGTGTATACTGGTATCGAATCTAAATCACAGTTACAGGTAAATATATATATTATAATTTAATTATATAATGTCTTCCGAGGAATTACAAATTCCACATGCAAACCACTTATATATTATGTACAGAAGACGTAGCAGTCTATGTGATTAGTTATAATTTTAAACAGTGTTTTGTAAGCCATTTTAGACTGAATATCATATAAAATTACATTTTCTATTTTATGCATTTGTTAAATATGATACCAGGTGTCAATCAGAAAGAAAACTATGACCTGCAATATAACTAATCAATATTGATGACATATTTCTAGTAATTATTTTACTTACACTTTTTATTTTTCATTTTTATCAACAGTTGCTGTCGTCGTTGCCTTTTTCTGCTGCTGGGCGCCGTTTAATGCACAACGTTTGATGACGTCATACATACCACCGGAGAGTTGGACTCCTTCTTTAATCGAGGCACAGGCAAAGCTATTTTATATATCCGGTAAGGACTTTTTTTCAGATTTAACTTAATGGAAAAAAGGCAGTTACGATATATATTGGAAAACAGGCATATTGCAATACACAGGCATATCATATTGTACCGCAATACAGAAATGAAAGACTGCTTTATCGAAATATTAATCGAAAGCTTAAACTCTATGACTATGCTTGTTGTTTTAACAGATATGCCAATAACCATACACACAGGCTATACAAATGGTAGGGATTAGTTCTAATTCCATACTATATGGTTGGTAAAATCATAAATTTGTGTAATCCATAGGATACATAATTCAGTTTGATAACATTTTGACAACAATTGCTCTTTGAACTGAGCATTTTTTTCCTTTGATAATGTATCGGGATATATTTCTAAAAACATACCTTGTGTATTGCAAGACATCGAAGCACATTCCAGACGTTTTGTTACACCCCTGTTGGAAAAGTTAATCAAATCAAATATTTTGCAATTTAAATACCAATGACCATATTGTGCTTGCTATTGACTTTTTCTGTTGTGATTTGCAATTTGATTTCAGTAAAATCGTTATTGATATGTTAAGGACTGCAAAAAACACCGAAGGATATGAGTATCAGTGGTAATAGGATTTGCTTGGAAAAAATCACCAAAATAGAAGGATTTCTACAAACACACAGTTTACTGCATATAACAGGATAGTATTGTATTTCCATTCGCACGGCAATCTTCCTTGATATCCATAGCACATATAAATATTTTCGTTTGATAAGCAATAATTAAACATATCAAATTAAACTACCGTATATAATATTCAAACTGTTTCTGTAACTGTTAGTTTAATAATGACGCCATTGATCTGTTTATTATTGCGAAGCTTTGTAGTCACCTTCATATATCACAATGAATAGCTTCAAATCAATCATTCAAGTGACAGTGATGGTCAATCAGCATGGTTAATGAACGGTTAACTTACAAAACAGCGATATTCGGAGACATCTTTAAGCTTCAGTTTTACAATATAAATTTACACCTGGATACAATTGTATTGTTTCTTATCTTACGTTTTTCCATATTTCAGGAGTCCTATTTTTCGTCGGATCCACTGTTAATCCTATATTGTATAATTTGATGTCAAAAAAGTTCCGTATGGCTTTCCGCCGTTCATTATGTAGATGTTGTTACAACCCAGATGAACTTATAGAGCTGAGTGCTCGTTCCAAATCCGTGCTGTATTCTGATCGTTCTCCGAACATGAACCAGAACAGGTGCATGTCAACTATGAACCTTTATCCCCGCTCACCACAGATGAACAAGTCACGATCCGGAAGTTCACTGGTATTAATGAAGAACGGTAACTCTCATATCCTTTCCAATCGCCTGACTGTGTCTAGTACGCAACAGTGGCCGAGTGCGCAACCGGACAAACACTGGTCATCCACTTCTGTGGATAGACTCAAAGACAGATCTGCCGGACGGACAGACAGACAGTCGATCAGTCCATGTAAACGACGGCTCAATATAAAGTCGAATTCCATCATAAAAGTGTGTTCGATGACGAGCATGCTAAGCTTTGCCGAGTACGAACAAGAGATATTTGTAGAGCTGGGTAGTTTCGATAGCCACACCCAGCTTTATAGGAAAGATCAGGGTGGCTCTCCGGACACTGGGGATACAGCCACGTTTTTATAGAGTTCAGTTGTTTACATATGAGGCATATTTAGTACTTGGCCTGACAACATAAACAAGGGACACAAACATTAATAAAAAAGAGGAATATCAATGGTATTTTTTTTAAACGAATACTTAAGTACACAAAATGGTCAAATATTATTTCAAATCTTTTCAAAATTCGATTTTTCTGGTTTTGACCAGTTGGTCGTTAATAGTTCCTGAACAGAAATGTCCAGACTAGCGGCAATTTCCATGTTACCAATTATCCGAATTAAGATATCGCCTTTTTCTTGCCAATATAATAGCCGCTATTAACCAGCCCACATACTGTCTCTCTTCACGTTTTAAAGGTTGAAAACAAATCTGTTTTTTCATTTTTTTTGTGTTTCGCGATTGGTTCATTCCGTTGTTTGAATGAACATTCTATATAAAATCATCGCTTACTTGCAACGCTTTGTATGAACCCGTGCCTGATATACCGCGAAGTCGCTCTACCGATTATGTCATATGTCTACTAATAATTATTGCCATTACTTCCCTTTACTATAACGTCGATATATCATCTCTACCGATTAGCATATTAACATATTAACTTACCTGTAAATAGGAGAATTTTGTCAAGTATGTCTAAAAAACTGAGTACTCATGTTATGGTTATAACTAATAAGTTACTTTTTTTTAAATCATTGAATGATACTTCCTTAAGATATCTTTATTTTGGTATATATATTTTTTGTCTTAGCTATGTACAGTTTACCGAAATTATATTTTATATTGATGAATAAGTTTAAAACTTCCTCAGCCCCCACCATTATGAATCTACTGACATCTTCATCGAAATATATATATATCTTACTTCCGATTTTACTATCAAATAAAGTATTTTGTCAAGATGGAAGCAGATATAACCGTTTATGCCGCTTTTCGTTTTGAACCTGGGCTCTATCAGGGACTGCTACAGTCCTTACTTATATATGCTTTCCTTTTACTTATAAACATGAATGTGAGTAGGTAGTAAAAAGCTAGTAAACAAATTGCATTTCAAAACTAACAAGCTCCTTTACATTGATGTGGTTGTGCATTTGCGACCACATTTGAAAGTTGGTGTTCACGTTTGATTTGGAAAGGTTGCAGGAACTAATTACATGTAGTTTGGTTAAATGATATGACGTCCTTTTTCTAAATGGTACAATAATGAGGACATAAATGGAAAGGCCCATTTCTAACACCTTTGTTGTCTTCTTAAAATTACATGCATGGAAAGGTTGGGAAATAAAATTACCTTCTCGAAGGAAATGTCTTGATTTTTATGTACAGTTTGTTCCATGTGCCTTAGAACTCCCGGTGGGCACTTGTCACGCTACGAACTACGACAGAAAATCCAGACGCTGTCTTACACTAATTATACCTGAGGACAATGCCATGTTTGAAATCCCTGGAAAAAGTTTGAACAAAGAGCAAATTCGATTTTTTTCACGATTTCGAATCGATCAACCTTAAACAAGGTATTTATCCAGGGTTTCAAATGAAACATAAATGAGACGTTGCAAGATCAAAGAGCCGAGCTGCTGTTGACTTTGAAGGTTGATTGGAGCTGCACATGGCGGTTCCCCGGCCGTATTGTCAATTGAAACCCACCAAAACATATCAAGCAGGGACATATAGCGTTCTACAACATTTTTGTCATTCGGAGAAAGTGTCGAAAAGGCACGTGGTACGTGCTGAATCCATACGTGAACACACCACAATCAATAATCTCAGTCCAGCTTTATCTATTTGTGGGCTAGTCATATCCACCTACAGTTGCTTACTGATCTCGATATACGTAAACTAAATCTGAATAACCAATGAGTTCAAAGTTTCGTGGCTAAAAACAAAAGCGAGATTTTTGTTTTGCTAGGGGATTTAAATAACCGCAAGGGCTAAGGTGATCATTTTCAGGTGTCAAGAGCAACGTAGTCAAAATATGAGAATATTGAATATTAACAAAAACGTACTTTGAAAGCAATTTGAAACACTTGTGGTGCATATTATGAAAAAGGGATAGATTTACATTAAGATCTTGGAAAAAGTACAAGGAAAATAAGGTTTGATTCTATTGATTGTCCTTTAAACAGCTAAGGTTATTTTAGTACGTGCCTCCATGTTTGCATGCATGTGTGTATAAATGCTGGATGCACTATTTTGGATTTAAATAACCGCACGAGCTAAGGTGATCATTTTCAGGTGCAGTTAGACTTTATGGTATTCAGATTTTTTTTTATTATCTCAGACATTAACAAAAGTATCTGTTCTTGTAAACTTCCAAAATGAGACAGGTTTATAACCTGACACTCACTGATCAACCGTGTATGTACAACACTATCCACTGATACATGTGTTCAGTTACAAGCTGTGGCAGAGGATGCTAAAGGTTTGTGAAGGTCAAATACCTGAAAAATATTAAATAGGAAAAGTTAAAGTTACTATAATGGTCCATCTGTATGTGATATAGAAATGGATATATTTGTCATATTAATTACAATTAGACACTAATGAAATCGGTGACCACATTGCTACACATTTTGAAATTAGTATTTTTAGTGATATATAACAGGTGTCCCACTATACATATAGCAGGTGCCATACTGTACATGTATTTTACAGGTGCCCCTCTGTACATGTAGTATACAGGTGCCCCTCTGTACATGTATTTAACTGAACATGTATGAAGATCTGGGAACAGGGTTATTTTGAGAAACAACTTAAGGTGGTTAGCATCAATTTGTCAAATCACATCTGAGCCATACTCATAAATCTTAAGAACGAAAAATTAATGTATAAAATGCATAAATAAAATTTCATTCTTCATTGTACTTCTTTAGATGACAGTTCTGCTGATACAGTTTATAAAGGGAAGTAATCTATATAATGTATGAATAATATAAGCATATTTTTTACAATACATATTTTTTTTGTAAAACTATGTATAAAATGTATTGATCGCTAAAATTATATTGTGATAAAATCATTCTGCAAAATGCGGAACTGATTATATTATAAAATGTCAAAATAAAACAAAAACTCTTTTGGATTGATGTATTTATGGCAAGGAGAAAAATTAAGGAGAAAAATTAAGGAAAAATATGCCCCTCTGGTACAACAATAAGATTACAACAGGAAATATAAGTATATTTTATAGAGAATGGTACAATAAAGGAATAATGGTGATTATTGATCTAATCAGAGACAGAAGTACCAATGCAATTTACACATTTCAAGAGTTCAAACAGATTTATGATATTAATACAAACTTGTTTTATGATACATGTACCAGGGTCTAATTACTGCATTAGAGAGTATATTGTACAACAAGATATGTCAAATGTAGAGGTAAGCTATCCATTTATACCAATAAATATAGAAAAGATTCTGAAAAAATAAAACAGGGATAAGAGATTTTTTTATAGCTTATTTTGTAAAAATGATACTATTTCAACAGGTAAAGAAATGGGATGATATATTTCAATTTGATGATGAAATTTGGAAACAAAGTTTACCAAATTACAGTGGCATTAGTACAGAGTTAATCAGCATATGTGATTAAAGTAAGCATATATAGTACATAGCCCTTACTGTGAACTGTGTAAGACAGAAATAGAGACAATATAGCATGTACTAGGACTGGGGATGTGACAAAGTACTTTGAAAAAAAAAGGAAATTTGAATAATGTGAAATTTACCAGTAGTGAACATTCTTATTATATGATAGCAGTTTTACCTATTCCTCTTTTGGTGGAAAATCTAACTTTACTACTGACTTATATTTCATATCATTTCATCATTTTACTGGTATATATGTGAATGTTGGTCACACCCTAACATCATTTTGTAAATGTCAATCCTTAGTCAAAAAGACAAACTTGGTTATGTGTACCTTTAAGATTTGTCACAGCAAAAAAAAAAAACAACATGTAACAGTTCATTTTGATTGAATCTCTGGGTCCACTCAGGTTAGAATAAATATAATAGGACAAATATATCTCTTACTTGAGTATATAAAGGGCATGGATATCATTTTCAAACAACTTTTAAGATTTTACTTTCAAAACTGATGTATCATATATAAAATTTCAAAATATATAAGTTCATCATTGTCTGATTGGTCTTTATAAAAAATCAACTGCAACATAGGAGGATATGTAATTTGAATTTAAGTTTATTTTGGATTTAATCATAATCAGTCAAATCATATTAAGTTGATTAATTCATTGTCGGAAACTAGAGCTAATCATTGTATACACTAAAATTGATCAAATTAGATGGCACAGATAAATATTGACTGACATATCATCTTCAACATAATTAAAATGCTTGTAGTCACTAATGTTTCAACATTAATGTCAATGTCTTTATTTAACATCCCTAGCACATTTAAAGTTGTAAGAGTGTGATCTAGATCTTCTCAACACTAGTCAACATGCAAATAAAAAGAAAACCATTCTCCATGTGTTGGGCTTTTAAAGTTTTGTCTTCATGTAGGTGGCCAACTATTTTAGCATGCGGATTACGGAACATTCGGTTTTTTAACTTTAGGTATATTGTACCTATATATATTTTTGACAAACTCTGAGATGAAAAAAAACAAAAATCCTATCATCGTGTTATTTTGTTCTTGTGACAATAAATCGGCGAAATCAGACACGGCAAAAAGAACTATGGTATTCGCAAAATGACACTGGCCAATCCGTCGTCCGTAATATAACACATGTGCCAAGGGACACAATCGGAACACAGGGGTTCGTTACAAATATGCTATACTGACTGGGTCACAGCAAACATAAACTGTGACTCATATCATGTGATCGGAAAGCACACCGGGGATTTGATGCCAAATTCACCGCTATTCTCCATGATCCAATTTCTGATGATCGACACCGCAGTTTTTATAAACAATGCATCTCTTCTTTCACTAACAATGCCTTGTCGTGTTACGTCTAATTGCATGCCCTCACCCCATTTTTTTCGTTGAAAGCCTCTTTCCAACTTTCAACTGACGACAACCGCTGAGAAGTTAAAACACCTGCTGCATATTGTCGATTTTCTACCCGACTTTGACATCTAGAATTTAAGGGTTCATAATCAACTTGGTGAGTATTTTCGTAAATAAGCGGACGATATACGCGTGCAATACACATGTATTTAAACAAGCATATTAAAACAATGATACAAAACATTTACCTCCAATGAAGTAAATCAGCACACCAGTTCCCCCGTAGTTTTGTAACAAAATGTCCTTCTTTCGCAAAAGAGTTCCCTGCGAGGCCGCTTAGTTCACGAGAAATACGTTCTTAGTTGAGAACGTTCTCAAATATTTGAGAACGTGTTTGAGAAAGCCAATTTT